TCCTCTTCTCACACTCTCGCCTTTTCTCAAAAGCGTTTGCCATGAACCCTCCACCCCCCTCGGCTCTCTCTGTGGACTGTCAGCAAGTGGCCACCTTTGAGCATGGCACTGAGCTGCTGTGATCTAACAGCTATAAAATGCCAAATAAAACTTATGGACAGCAATTGCCAGAGAGCAGAAGCCTATACACCACAATGGATCATTGTTATGGAATGGGTGATGTCATGACTGTGTTGCTCTCTGAGCTGCTCTTCTTCATTTTCCCCATTTTTCTAAAGAAAAAAGAAATCTCTTCGTTCTATCTCAATGTATCTTTTATGATGTCATGTCTGATGTTCATGAAAGCTCTCCCCAAGTGTGTAACTGTTCAAATCCAAGTTCCACTAAATTGATGTGGTCAAGAAATGGAAACATATTCTAATCACTTTTGTAAAGACTTTTTTCTTTTTGCGAGCTATATGTTAAAACTTATGTTCAGATTATGTGAACAACAACATCTAAAACAGTGTCTCTAAAAGTGGTGAAAAACAAACTAGCTGAGCTAAAAAAATCGACCCTGAATTGAAGTCCCTGTTTGGCAGACTTTCATGCTCGGTGTACGCGCACGCTTTCGTTATGTGGTGAGCAACACTAAAATGCAACACTGGCTTGAAAAATAATAAATAATTGCATCGTTCCCCTCTGGCATCTTCACCGCAGCAAATCATTGCAGTCCTTACTGTCACTGCTCAGTTTGCAAGCTAAGTAATAATTTGATGCATTGGCCTGATATGTTGATGTCTGCATAATAAGTCACTCGTAAAATTACCGGGCAGGTAGTAATTAAGGAGATCAGCCATAAATCGTTCCTCTGAAATTCAAGTTCGAGGCATCTTGTAACAAAGGTAAAAGCGTTTTCTTTTTTTATTTGGTCCTTGCAGTATGCTATAAATTATGTTGGATGAAGTGCATGTTCCAAACGTTGCTGGGTGAAATGTAAAGGTGTTTATTATGCACTGCTCTTACCCGAACAAAGGGCCTTTTACTGTTGCTATCAAAAATATAAATAATTGTAGCTTGAACTTTATGCTCTTGTGTGCAACCAGTTTGTCAAGAACAAATGTGAGCACTCTAGTTTGGTTGACATGTGAATGTCAGTTTTAGGTTCACGCATGCTCACAGCGCAGCTTGGATTACCTAAAACTGTATTCATCTGCAAGTCTGAAAGAAGGGTAAGCATAGATTTTAATGAAAGTATTCACTTTTATTCCGTAGTTAAAAATACTTTTGCAACTATAAAATTTATGTTGGAAAAAAAAAAGCTTTCAACAGTGTGTGTGTCTCTATCAGCATGAGTGTGTTCACTATTTTCTGGGTCCTTCCTACCCTGATCCTGTGTGCCTGTGTGTGGCTGGGGTAACCTAACAACAGCAGATGCAGCATATACAGCCACCATGCCATCCTTAGTGGTCCCCAGCGTTCAACCCACAAGCCCACCAGCAGGACCAGTCGAGCCGTCCACCCTTCAGCCATCCTGCGCTCCGTCACCCTGGCGTCGCATGACATTCTTTCCCACAGGCAGCCACATAGTTCCAGCGTCTCCTCATGCGAGGGGGGCTGGGACCCTGCAACAGGCGGGGGGCACTTCAAAGGCTGGCCGGCCCACAGCTGCAGCCTGTCGCTCCAGCAGCCAGCTCCAGTTTGTAATCATTATTAAAGGCTTGACCTCAGAGGCATCTCTGCCGCTGTTCACACCCCCTTCCCACCCCTGATAACGCTGCACGGGGCTCCTCACAAGGCGACTCCAGTTACCCATCAGTTGAGTGCATTGAAAGGGATGTGGCGCTGGTATTGTTTCTTGCCGTACTGATGGTTGAGGGTTTTTTTTATAGATACATTTGTTTTGGGCACTTGTATTAGATCAATGCAAGCATCACTGGTGACATTGCCCTGCTGGAGTCTTAACATGTCTGATGAGGGTTTATGTGTCATATTAGGACTTTGCACTAAAAAACAGACTCATTTACTTCACACTCAAACGCAACACAGCATATAATGCTTACTTCTCCTTATGATGGCCTCTTATGAGCAATAAGTGAAGCAGCTCAACACAGTTATATTATTTTTTTGTCCAAAATCTTCACAAATGGAACCCTGAGGCTTAACTGTGCACCTGTGGGGATGCATGGCCTACCCAGTCAACTAATATAGCCTCACCTGCCTACCCTCCTGCCCTGGCCACAAAGTGGTTATGAGCTTGTTAGCCCTTGTGTGATGAAGGAGGAATCTGTGCAATTTGCAGGATATACCACGCAGTGCTTAAAATGTCAGACCCTAATTCATTGAGACAGTCAAAGTTGATTCCTGCCTTAAGGAGCTTTATTGTTATTCCCTCCCCCCATTTCAAAACCTTGTTAATTCGTAGTTAGGTTGGTCACAACCAATAAAAAGGTCTTAAGCATGAAGAAAGTCATGGCAAATGAGGGCAACGTTGCACGGCACATAGCCTCATCGCTCAGCAGCTCCAACTGCAACAGCTGTGCGTATAGATTGTAAACAACATAATAAAAAAAAGAGGGAAAAGGAATCACTTGTCTATAGCCGCGATTACATGCGTCATTTGCACTGATAACAATCATCAGAAGTACAATATACGGTGCTCTCATGCTCTGGTAATTCTTCAAATCTACAGCCAGATGTTAATGTGTCAGCAACCGGGATGGCATCCTTTCCTTTTCTCATTAATTCATCATGTACTTTATTGATGTAATGCGCTTGAGTCACTCCAAAACAAGAGCAGCAGCAGGTGTCCAGTAATGGCAGGCGTGCTAACATGAGCGGGAGGAGTTTTTACCAGGTGTGCTGCATTGGTAACAAACACTGAGCATGATAACCCTTTATTAAAGATTCCATAGTGTGTACGGCAGTTGATCTGAAACTATAATCAATCCTTGCAATAAGTCCCTGGTTTTATTGAGGCTTTTTGTCACTGTAAGGAAGGTTTGGGTGTTTTAAAAACTGGCATTCCATATCCAAGTTTATGGCTCTGTTAACAAGCAATAAATCTTCCGTGATATTTTTGTGTCGAGCTGTAGAAATCGTGCAGTTTAATTAGTCGAATCCATAGCAAAGCGTGATGAAAGAGTCTGTTTTGTTTTTGTTTTAAACGATCTTTTACCATCACTTAATTTTAAAACTTTTGAATAATGTCGTTGTTAATGGCAGAAATACGTTATCCTCTGTTTGCCCGTAGTGCTGGGTCGTGTTCGACAAAGCTTTTTTAATGGAATATTGAATGTCAAGTCATCCGTCAGCAGGAGATTAAAGAGGCAAACTTTGTGCTGCAAGTGCTTGAGCTGAAACCACATAAAGGATGGCTCTTATAACTAAAGTCTTAATCCTGACCACCTCTGACCTCCTGGTATATTTAAAAAAAAGAACAAAAAACTGACCTCAGAAAAAACTTTGAGTGGTAAATCTAAATCTATTTTATTTCCTCAAGCAATTATTTCTGCATAATGAGGGGCATAAAACTCGTGAAACGTTTTCTTTGGATGAATTCTAGTACCCTGAGCTACAACCAATTCATTGAGATTGGTCTAAACCTTCCCCTTCTTTCCATGGCTACAGTCATAACAGTGCAGTAACAGATCCCTCGATCCCGTCAAAACATTTAAATGAATCTCGTGGGATAGAATCGTTTTATTAACGGAGATAAAGGATAGGAACTACAAAGAAACATCAAAACAGAAATGAAACATTGAGCTGTGTTTACATTAAACACCGTCGTATCAGTAATCGCATTTATCATTCGATGCAACGTGCCAGGAGACAGCATTTTTATTTTAAGGTTTGTGAATGGGGTGAAGCTTGTCATTGATCTTCCTAGCAGATGAGTAATGTCATGATGCTTGAACAGACAGGCTTTTATAAAAGTCTGTTGAAGTTAAATAAGACAACTGTGAAACAATGGAACCGTCTAATTCATAACACCTTGCGCAGAAATCCCCTATTAGATTTTAGGTCAGCGATTCAGTGTTTGTTTTTATTTTAAGAGTTGGCTCGCTGAAAAAGCCACATGACTGGTACGTCATATTTCAGTTATCACAACAGACGGGGCTGTGATCTGATGCACGCTTCGCTGCCTCGTGTATTTTCTATCGCTATAATAATGAGACAGCGCGCTGGTCTTTTTGACTCAAACTTCTCGTTCGGAACGTGTGTGGGTAAGCGGTGGCGAGTGGAATCATTCCAAAGGCCAAAGGCTGACCGCTCCAAACAGATGGAAAAGCCTGCCATGCTGCCTGCTCTCTTTGTCTGCCTTTCCCCTTTTGTTTTGTTGATTTGTTTATTTTTGGTTTCTATACAATCAAGGGCCCGTTGAGCTCAGAGCGCGGAGAAGCCTAGACATAATACGGCTGTGTCAATAGATGAGTGGGGCAGCATGGGACAGGACCCCCCCCTCAGGCATGCTGCAGGGGGCCTACTCAAGCAGGATGCCAGGAATGGCTCAAGGGTCCCAGCGGCACGAGCCTCCGACACTTAACAAGCGCCTTGCAGTTGTCCCCGGCCTTGACCCTGTCTCGTCTTAAGACACATATAGAGCTTAGGCAACATAGAGCCTCAGGGACATGATCAATTACACTGTCATTCTATAAAAATATCACCAATAGGAATATAATTTTTTTAAATCAGTTTTTCCATTACTTGTTCTCGTGGATGGCTCGACATGTATGGTGACGTGTGGCATTTCTCACCGGTTAACTCAGATGAGAGACGATTGAGACTGAATCAGAAGGTTTGTTCTGGTACAATTGTTTTAACTTGTTAGAAAGAATGATTTGAAATTAGAAAAGATGGCAAAAACGATCTGCTCTTTAACTGCAACCGCAGCGCTGTGATGCAGCTCTTGATACATATTTTGACGCCGCGCCCCTTCGTTTTAATTCTGCCCTTTTCCCCTTGCTGCCCTTCCCTTCGAGAAAGTCTGGGGATTTTCTGACAGCCAGAGCAGTAGATGTCTCACCTCGGGGCTTCCTGTTACAAGACCATAAAAGACTTTGCTTGGTGAGTAACAAGGACACATTCCCTGGCTCATTGCATGTCCTCTGGGAGGCTGTGGATCACGTACAGGAATCAGTGCGCAGGTATGTAGGCTGCAAAGAAAAAAAAAGAAAGAAAGCTTTAGCTGCAATACAGGAGGTCGCATTCAACCCAATCACACAAAGCGCAAAAATGCATTCGACTAATGGCAAGGGGTCCCTTCGATTCTACTGGAGGCAAGGTTAGCAGTTTGCCAGCCCTGTGCATGTTGCGTGACACTGATGAGGGATGACTAATGTTACCATTTTTATTTTAAAATGCTTTAGGAGCTATAAAACATCAAGCTGACTCAAGCCCGAGCCTGACAGTTTTACAATCTTATATTTCAACAGTCAAAAATGAGGAAGATCCACCGCTAATGCTTTATACCTCGTTTTTATGGGTTGCCAAAATCATCACAATGTGTTATTTTTAAAGCTGTAGATGAAAATCAGAAGGTCTAAAAATACTGATGCAAATTAAAAGTCTACAATTCAGCTCAACAGAAGACAGCGTTAAAAAGTGCTAAGCCACACGTGACAGCAGCTGTCTGTGGGATCAGTTGAGATCCTGGACTTGTAGTATTAAGTGCGTTACATGCTTTAAACAAACAATATCAGAAATTGTGTTGAACACAGATTCCCATTAATGCACCGAATCTTTTTCAATATGGATGTCTTTATAATTAAACGCCAACTACACAGCCGCTCCTAAAAGCTCAACCATTAAGAATCAGCACTCCACATACCAGGCGTTAAAGTAGTGGAAATTTGCCAAGTGTGGATTCCATGCAAACTGAGCTGCTCTGTCCTCTATTGGACTGGGAATACACAAAATGCCTCACATGCATTATGTGACACTGAATTGTGCTTTGGAAAACGTGGCTTTTAATGTTTCCCTAATTGGGGAGCATTAATCAATTGTGCTCCATCAGCAGAGGCTAAGAGGGCCTTTAAGCATCTGCCCACCATCCAGTTCTCTGACCCAAGACCAGCTGGCTCGCAACCCACGCTCTGCTGCAAGAAATCACTTTTGACTCCATCCATCAAAGCTACATTAATATTCTGTCTTAAGCAGCCCACTACTTGGACTGCATTCATGGTCTTAATTACCTTAGGCCTTGCCAGAAGAAGGTGACCGCAGAGGGCAGAGCAACTGTATCAGCTCTCCCTTCTTGTCAGTTACTATACATTTATACTCCATCAGGGACCGGTCACTCTTTCAGGCTTGTCTGCTTTGGCTCATACATACTGAGAGTACAAAGGATGCGGGGGTAGGTTGGGTATCACAAATTGGGGACAATGGCAACAACTGCACATCTAATTTAGCTCCTTGTTTATCGCAAGTTTGTAATCAGATCCTCTGCACAATGCAGGGGAGCACAAAGGAATGGTGATCAGGGGGCTATTGTTTTTCAGGCTAATTAGGCCCGGGCCATACCTCTGAATTCTCTGAGGTGTACAACCCCGGGGGTTAAATGTGGCTAAAAGTGGCCCACATCCCTGGTACCATTAAAAAGAGCCTTACAAGTCCATGGTATTTGGAGATGTAATGCATGATGGCCTACTTATCTGCTCATTACATTGCTCATTTCAACATTGTGCAGCACTCTGGGAGCCCAAAAGCCACATAACAGTTGTTTTTGCTCTAATGTTTTCCATTTATCTGTTATGCAGCCCTATATCAAATCGTCTTGGCCACAACTGCCACTCAAGCTAAGCTCAAGAATAACAGGGCCAGCAGGGTGGTGCAAACTGTGATAACACGACACATTTCAGTATTTGTCAGTAATGACATTTAGAATATCGCAGAACAATAATAAGTTTATAAATGTTAAGCTGCTTAGACAGTATATTCAGCTTCCCACACGCTCTCCAATTCAATGCATCTCATTGATTGGTCTCCACTGTTGACTTAAACATTCAGCACTAAGTATGTGAACTCTTACAGGCAGAGAAAGCACAAGTTCCAAAGCAGCCTTGTCGAATCAACCTTTGACCTTAAGGCATTAGCCTCTGACCTGCAACAGGTGGAGACAGTGTCTTTCCAGCCAATCGTACTAAGTGCCGTGGGCTTTCTAGCATCTACTCTCTGCTCTTTGGCCAAATATTATCATTTTGCAGAGGACTACTCAAAAAAAACATGGTGTAGACTACATGTGAGGTCTAAGAGCACATGTTGTTACGGGTGTAAATGCTGTGTCTAGGACTAGTAGAGGCTTTGGCAAGGTGACCGAATGTGAAAACAAACCAAACACCTGTTCTGCACTAACTAACTCGGCACAATACTGGGAATTTTTTTTTCTTTCTTTTTTTTTTCTTAGTGAGGGAGGAGGCAGATAGGGGGATTTTCTCAGGGATAATAACTCATTTAAAGGCAGTCATGCAAAAATATATTGTACATGTAAGTACAGTTACCAGTTTAATCACATCAACTTCAGCCCTTCTTCTTCTGCAAATAAAAAAGTAGATTAACATTGAAACAAATTTCAGTTTTTACACTCCAATCTGTTCAAACTAAGAAGTAACAACAATCCTAAATGTAACATTCAGCAGTTCTGTATACGGTTTAACAATTACTCCTTTCAAAATCTTTGTAGCTTTTCTTCTATCAGACACCCTGCTGTTTTAGAGCTTATGGTTATTAGTAATGGGGCAAGGAGGCACAGAGTGCTCTCTTGGCTGCCTACCAAATGGACAATCTTTGATCTGTAACTGCATGGTTCTTGGGGCCAGGCAGCTTATGAGCCTACTGAGAGGAAGAGGCAGGCCAAGCTTCCCCAATAGGTGTTGGCAATCTCCCTCGGGTCTGTCCTCATCACGGGGAGAATGCACGCAAGTGGCCCTCAGAGACTCTCCCCCAACGCGGCGCTCGGTGGCAAACGAGTTTTAATGGAGAGGTCAGGGAGAGTTCCTGACCAATGGAGCCAGGGGCCAGGTGGCACATCACAGCGGCCCTATGCGCAGCTATCCCCAGAATGCGACACGGTGGCGTCGGCAAGTTTGCCTCTGATCAACAAGGGGAGGGTTGGGCATGATAGCATCGCCAAATGCTGTGGGGACTGTGGTACACTGTGTGCCAGCTCTTTGGTCGGGTCATTGTGTTTTCTTGTCAAACATAAAACTGCCAAGCGAAAACAATTAGATGTGTCACATGCAATCCAGTGGTTGTGACTTTTGTCTGACTGGAAATAAAAAACATTTAAAAGTTTGTTTGGAAGTAAAGAGAGTGCAGTAGCGATTGTTGTAAAGATGGTAAATCTGTTTGATATGTTTTCTTTGGATTTTCTGTTGATTAAATTATTTATTCAGCAGAATATCTGGTGTCAAACTTAACGGGACACTTTTTAAAAAGTTTTTCTGTAAACTCTGTAAGTGTAAGGTAGAAGAAAACTCAGTTTAAATTAAGTGTTCAGGGATGTCAAATTCCTTTTACATCTTTGGCCGGACCGGTGAAACTGCCCTCCTCGTCAGTGAAAAGAAGTTTAATTACACATATAATTGAGATGTCCTAATTTAAAAAAAATATCTAATTTCAACAGTATTTCTCAGTTTTTATACATGATAAAGAAATGTTGCTGTGGTAACTGAAGTAAATGTGTCAGCACAACTCTTTGGGCTTAAAGTTTAAGAAATAAATGTGCAAAATTGCTCAGATTGTCCTGTAATTATACAACAAAGCTTCTGGTAATTCACAGAAAATGTCCTTTTTTTGCTTGTTTGTTTTCTTTAGGTTTTTGTTTGTTTGTTTGTTTTTTTTAACTGCAGAACTATGTAAAAACGTTCTCTTTTACACTTTCCAGTGGGCCAGATTTGACTCTTATCTGGGCTGATTCTGGTCCTTATGTTTGACAGCCCTGTTTTAGATAAAGGTAAAGCAACTTTTGTGGGGAAAAAAAATGTATACTCTGAATATGAGAGTAAAAGATCTCTTGAGTGTTTGAAGCTTAATCAGTTAATCTATAATGACTCTAACTGGCTCAAACAAAATGCCTTCACCTGGAACACTGACACCAGTATTGTATTGGATGCATCAGTGCATTATATCATATCATAATATTCATATGCATCTGGAAGTTTACCACATAGCAGTCGCTGCTTTTCTACGGTCCACCCTTATGTAATATAAGAATTGCAGTTTAGCTTCATGTTTTAGATTTTTTAAAAACATAACAACATTTCTTGCCTGAGGAATTTCTATAAAAGAAACACGCCTTTAGTTGCAGTTTGAACTGCATGGGCAAACGCTTTTAGGAGCGTTGTCTGTAGGCTCTGAATCAAACACTTGTGCATGCTTCTTTGGCTGTTGTCATGATTGTGTTATGCCATCTACTGGCTGCATGTCACTTGGTTTGCAGAACATGCATGCAGAGCTGAAGAAAACTCATGAACACGGATATTAGTCTCTCTATTTTTTTCATCTAAGAAAAAGATGATTACATCAAGAAAAAAAAATGTAATCGGACTCCATTTGAACCAGTACAGACTTCACGTGTCTGTCTTTCAGTTATTTACCTTCCCGTGGCCCTCCGTCTTGCCTTAAGAGAAGGGCCTAATTATGCTGCGTATGGCCCACAAAGTGGCTCTGTCATCCAGTGGCCATTGACGAGAACAAACAGTCCCTTGCCACTCTCAGCTGTTGGGAGATATTAGAATAACATTTTGAAACGCCAGCTGTCTTGCGGTTTTCAGTACACAATCCTCTAAAACCACAAGCCTTGTAGGATAGCAGCACGTCTGTCTGCCTCAAGTCAGGAGATAATACAGAGGGCTTCTTTTGTGTGTACTGTTCAACACAAAGCTTTGGGGATGACAGCGTCCACTTTTAAGTGCACCAGCATAACTCATTAACGACGAGTTAAGAGAACTAATCTATTCTAATTCGGAGCATAAAGGTCTTTGCTCAACACTGCAGAAGAAGCACACACGCTTCTATATTCAGCTATTTCTAATACGCTGTTAATGCTTCATTCACAGCCGATAATTAAAGCATATGTAAATGTGTCGACCAGCTGTATTGAAACCTGCAGGGAGGCGATGTCGTCAAAGATCCTTATTTCTAAAGAGACACACATTGATAAAGTTGCCAAGGTGAAAAGAGTTTTCAGAAAACTGACGAAAATGCCAAAGCTAATCACACTAAGTACAAAAAGAGAGAGAAAGAAAATCCTTGCAGCAGAATAATAACTCACAACTTACTCTTAAATTGAGTGCACCTCATTTGTGCTTTGTCTTTGTCCATGACTTCAGTAAAAACACAACAAACTGTGCTTTCTTTCACATTATGCAATTAAATCTTCAAACGTCAGATGCACTAGAGGGCAGACAAGATACTCTGGAAAATGCAAATGTAAATCTTGTTTTATACATCTGTGTACACATTATTCCCGTGAATTACAGGCTGCACTTTTTTCCCCTGCAAAAAGCACAACAGATTTAGCTCTTCACTCTAGAATAATAATTAGTGGAAAAGACAGCGCTGGGTACACAAACCCTATCTGATTTGCATTGAGTAAACATTTGTAATTTGTGTAAACAGATGTGCAGCCTAGTTTTTACACCTGCACCCTTTAATTAGAAATTCACTCCTCCCTAACAGCTAATTCTGTTATTTGTCTATTTTAAGGTGTCTTGTGCGTGCATGTGTCTCCTTGTGTGTGTGTGTGTAAAGAAATTATCCTAGGGTCGTAAACTAAAACTAGGCTGTTGTCCTTTAATAAACATATACAGACATCACCGTTATTTTCAGTTGTGAGAACACGGATGAGGTGTATCCATGAGTGCAACTGCTTAAATGCATTTACTGCAATTTTCAGTACAATAGCAGTATAAATATATAATACTATTATAGAAATGTGCCTTAAAAATTACAGTTGTGTACCATGAAATAGTCCTGGTTATACATTTTCATAAAAAGGTCGATTAAATATATCAATAGATGTGCAGAAACCACTAAAATAAAGAAACTCTTTAATACAAGGGGTGTTCAAGTGAGCTACCACCATGCACTGCGGTTATGAGAACCTCAATGTGAGATCATCAGCTATAGAAAAAAGTGCACGAAAACTCTTGGCCTTCACATTAGATCTGTGTAAAGAGGGTTCTCTCGCGACTGTAACACAATAAAATGTCTGACCTTGATCATCTCTTCAGCGGCGCTTTAAACTCGGAGATCAAATGCAAGCAGCACAGACAGACACTTGCGTCCCTCCACTAAAGCTGACAGGTGCTGAAATATGATAAAGGAAAACACTTAAGAAATAAGGAGTACCATCTAAAGCCTTTCATTTACCTCAATAGGGCAACCGATGGTTGAAAATAAAATCCAATGCCATGTTCAAGTGCCTTCATAAGTGATATTGATAACAATCTTTTAAAAATGAATAAATAAATAAAAAAATAAACTGTGTTAAAAAAAGTTACATTTTTTGGATTTTTTTAACCTTCATAATTTAACCTTGAATTTTAAGTTCTATAGTGATACAGTGTGAAACAATGTGACTCAGTGGCTAAGTGGAAAAAAATAGGGGCAGTCTTACCTGAAAAAAGACAAGAAAAAAAACACACAGCCTTTACTCAACAGTACTAAACAGGAAGGACTATGTACATCGTTACTGTACAGGCCCCCGCAGTAACTGATCAAATCCATAAAATATCCTGCTTCCTCCCCTCTATCATTCATCCCGAACTCATCTGGATGATAATGTGGTCTTCCTCTCTTGTCCCAACAGATGGCGCTAGTGCTGCACTGCTGAGCTTCTTCCTTCTTCCCCGAGAGACAAAGTGAGCCTTCAGTTTCTGCATATGTTTATATACGTATAGATGTCAGATGTGTGGGTACAACCCTCCCCCCACAACATCTGTGTTAATTTGCTCAGAATGTAACATCTTGTCTTTTCATTCCTTGAATGCAATCCTCACATAAGTTTTCAAATCTACTGTACATTAGCAGCACTGCCACATCACCGGCTTTAAGCCGATTATTGTGGAAGGCATCCTGAAAAGTGTAAACAGTCTGTTTATAACCATCTTCAAGGTGCTGCATTTAGATGGAGCCAGAGCAGATGATGATGTAGATGCTGAGCTGATGAAAAGAAATGATGAGAAATTTGATGTGTTAAGCTTTGTTTCTTTACTTTACCTGGCAATATGTCTGTGATTTGTTTTCATCATGACATTTATGCTGTTCTTTTTTTCTCCTTTCCACATCCTGCACTTACTCATGGTCTGTCAGACACTAAGAAAATGTACACAAAGACCAGAAACACACTGACACGAGCTCACATAAATAAAATTCCCCACCACACAGACATGCACGTGCGTCACCTGAAAAAGGGCACACATGAAAAAGACTCTTAATAACTCAATTCAGTGGTGTATTCACTGAACCGCGCAAAGACGCATTCGAGTAAGGCGCACACACAAACACTTGATGATAAAATCTGATTGTGATTCTCGCGCTGCTTCATATTCTGGCAGTCCTGACAGCTGGGTATTGCTCAGGCCAGAATAATCCAGTCAAATGTGACACACAACATCATTTGAATGTTGAACAGCTACACCTCCCCCATTATAGTGTAGATTCTCCTCCTTGGACGACAACGAGAACTTTCCTGCATGTGAGAAAGGTATAATCGCTTTTTTTTAAAGAAAAAAATTAACTTAAAGCTACCCGTTGTGAGCCGCCTCATTTCGTGTTGAGCATAGCCGCTAAGAGCAATTTTTCACAAGTATAAACCCATTTCTCGCCTTGTCCTTATTCAATATCTTACACTGGAGCAGAGACATCATAATAAATCCCCGGAGTGTGGGTGTAATCGAGCTCCCCCTCTTTTAAAGTGTATTATCGTCCACGTAACACATCAGTGAGCCAAAATATGGCGACATTTCAAAAAACAATGATGATAACGTACGTGGGCTTTAGGATAGTGCGCGGCTCTTCTCCCCGTTTTGCACTTTGATTACAATGAGAAAATTTTCTGTCAACGTTCATCCTCCTTTTCCTTTAAACAAAGCAAGTGTTGCTACCTGATGCTGTACCACACACGATTTCTGGTGTAAGCATGACCTTGTTTCTTCTTTTCAGTGCTTCCTCTTTTGTTATGCATGTGTGATCTGCGTTCAGATGAGTGGGTCTTGTTTTCTTTCACCGTACCTACATTTAGGTGCCCACTATAATGTGATTGTGGCTGCTGGCAATTTAAGAAGACTGAGAAATCGACGTTGCAGCTATATATTACTGCTAGTTTAGAGAACTGCATCCGATACAAAAAAAGGAGATTCGAGCACAAGTGTAGTTGGAAAAAAGTAGCTTATGACAGCTGATGTGTCTGTACTATGCATAGTTTTATATAACAGAAACAAAAACGCCAAAGAAGCTTTGTGACAACCCCACAAAGACTAGCTTCGGTGATTTTCCCTACATATTAGCACTGATGCAAAATGTGACACTCTTTGTCTCGCAACATTTGCTTGTATAGCAAAAGGACAAAGCCTTCAGAACGTGGCTGAAAAGATTTGTTGTCTGCATTTTTCAATTACCTCTCGCTTGATGCAAAGCCCCAACTTCAAAACAGTGTGCCAGTCCAAGGATGGAAAGAAGAAGTCATTGGAGGTAGGGAGGAAAAAAAAGATTCATCCTGTTAAAGCAAATAAGACAAGACGTGCTTCATACATTTGTGACATTCCTGAGTTTACCAAAGTGAATGCCAAGGCTCTCTCTTGAATGCAGTTTGGATGTGTGTGCCGAGTGGCTGTTGTGTCCTTGTACTAGCAAGTAATAGCACTAATGATAAAAGTTTAACCCAGTTTCCTAAATGAGTTCAAAAGCAAAACTCCCTGTTGTACTTCCCTACTTGCAAGTAGCATATACAGTATGCAGTAATTAATGCAAGAGCATTGGAGGCAAAAACACTCTCGGCTGGTCTATTTTGCATCTATAGCCTCGATGGAAACAGATACTAAATGTGTCCTTGGAGTGCAGGGATACGGTTTGCAGAAGCTACTGATGTTAGCCATTGATATGCACAACACTGTTTTTTTTTCTTTTTGTCTTCCCACACCGGAGACCTCGACTTCTGCTTTTAAAATGAACCGCCCACCTCAATCAATGAGTTAATTAACATATTCCAGGCTCGCTCCGAGTAGTGTTGACGAAACTTAACACCAATCTGCGGCTCCAGTCAGTTACCCAGTGGAATGAAGACAGTTCCCAAGGTCGTACTAATCAGACAGCTGATTAAAATTATATTCTGCCTAAAGGGCTCCATAGAAGCAACAGTAGAGACTGTCCACCACAGATGAGCGTTTAAAGAGAGAAAAGATGCTGCGTTTTCACCCCGATGCTCTTATCATGTTTGTCAAACTAAGCTGCTCTGGGGCACGCGATTCTCTCAAAATGTCATAGCGTAAATCGTGCACAGCTTTGTTTAGTTTGCAATAAAATGTGCGTGGTCTTAGTCTTACTCCTCCGAGTATGTAGTGCAGACTTATTCTTTTTCAGTAGGGCTTGCAGAAATTGTTACATTATAAGCTGTTTGCAGGAGAGAAGTCAAGGGAATGAGTTACCAATCACGCTTTGAAGTGCTTCTCAGCCTCTTCTTTCTTGCCCGTCATGCTGCCCTCTGTCAGACTGAATTGCTCTTTTCTCTTAATAACCTCACTGACGAATTCTTTCTCTACCTCGCGCTCTCTCTGTTTTTAATCTCTTTCTTGCTCTCTATTCCTCTGTCACTAATGCTTACGCTTTAGGAGGGTTTTCTTTGCATCATCTGACAACCCTCTCAGTGTTCGAGTGTAATAGAGGTATGGGAAACTCATAGGCTTACACTTGCCCTGACAAGCATTCAGATCAAACATTTAACTGATGAAATGTTCTCTTTCGTGAGGGGTTTTCTTAGCCTAAGGGAAGGTAGGTGTTAGGGTCAGGGTTTGGGTTAGATGGGCCAGTTTTCATTTGGATCTTTACTTTTTTGGTTTCTGTGCAGTTTTTAAGCAACTTCCTTTGTATTTTCATCATGCTGTGACACGTCTTCAAAATTCTGCGGGAGCGGTTGGTTTCCAAGTCTAAAAAAGGTGTTGCTAAACATCTTGAAAAGCTATTTGTCTTGTTTGTACAGATGATCTTTTTAGGCTGCTGTGACAACTGACGGCTCATTTCTGAGTGGAAGAGCTTCAAATCAGTGAGTGAAACGTCAACAATTAAGGTACGCGAAGACTGCTTGGGATCATTCACTCTGAACCAAACTTCAGATCTACTCTTGTATGCCTTCGCTGAAATTTACTGACATTTATAGAAGAACAGATGTGCTGTTGCTCGTGGATATGAGAAACAAAGACTTCACTGAGAGCAAGTGTGACCAAACAACACATGTGTGATTAAATTAAGAAACCAGGTACACGGCATAAAATTTACACCTGTTGACATTCCTGCCTGCAAGGGTATTTACTGCATCTTTTAATGACTATGTAATTCCTCAGTATTGGGTCACACCACATCCAGCTTCGAGCGTCACCTTGAGTTTATCTCCAGTCCACAAAACCATAAGGTTTGACTGACTGTATCACACTCAGTTTTTATACAAGTTTGGTGCTTTCCTCAGATTTAGAAACACCAGCCAGAGTACTTGAAGCCAACTTTGCAGTCTTGTCTCCAACAGTATGTGTCTCCACCACAAAGACAGACTGAGAGGGTGAAACATGTACCATCCACATATTGCAGCTAGTAATTAGTGGTAACCTTATGCAATAAGCCCATCTACATTGTCAGTTAGCTATCATTCGTTTGGATTAAACAGATATTCCAGTGAGCTAGTACGAGTATATCTTGTTGTTTCTGAAGATGTTCTGAAATCTCCGAAACGCCTGGAAATTATGTAGCAGGTGTTTGCAACTTCCTGCAAAATTTAAAATCCATCTGATATTGGTGCCCCTTGAACTCTGAATAAAACTATGTAATTTACTTCTAAAAACACAGAACTTTCCAGAAGTAGAAGCATAAATGTTTAAATTGGAACACAATTTTGTTGTGGCTTAATTTTAAATGTAAAAAGTTGCCGCTGAGATCTTATGGCAGCTTTATAATAATAACTTAGAAATTAGTGCGGCAGAATTTTAGGGAAGTTTTATGAGTTGCCCCAGGAATGTGGACTGGGTGATGTTTCATTTTCATGTTATCAAGAAGGTATGCGGTGAGAAGCAAATCCTCTGGGCCATGTCATAAAAATGCCAAGGCTGAAAACTCTCAGCAAGTACAAAAAAAAAAACCTTTGTTCTTTATAATGTCATCCAATGCCACAGGGTTTCAGCAAATAGCTTACCTTACTTTTATTAAACCTTCAATCTCATGTTTTTTTTGTCTGTCTGTTTGTGCAACACAAACATAAGTTAGTTCATAAGCTGCATTACTTGCCACAAAACAGTGAAGTAAAAATCTACCTGTGATATGTTGATGAATGAAGTTATCGGGTACTCTGGTCCCAGCAAAGAACAGTAGAGCTAGTTTCTTTTGTATGATTTCTAAACATCCCCTGTCCTCGTTTGGATTTTCATGGACTCCCCAACAGGCTCACCTCAACCTTGAGTTCCAGCCAGTGTGTCAGGAAATGTGTGTCTCACAGTTGTTGGAGATTGGAGAAAATATTTTTTGTAGTAAAAAGGTCAAGTAAGACCATTCTGTGAGGAAACTATCCTAAAACTTTTTTTTAATACTAGCTGGGTTTTCCCCCTCTTCCCTCTTTCATGCCTTTACAAACATCACCGTCCCACTGGATGGTTAACACTTAAATACACAAGAAATAGCTTATTGCAAATCAAGGGTGTTCTTTAATTATTCAAGCGTATAAAGTTGGAATAAGACATCATCTGCAGTCACTGTTTCTTTTTTTTATGAGGACAACAACACAGTAGTAATCCAAAGACAACGATAACTGACGTACATTTTTCTAAACTGTCACATAGAACACAAAACATGTCTGGATCTTATAACCACGCAATCACTTACAACCAGATTCCCATGACATCACCTCTTATTTTGAAATGTATGAGCATTTCATAATGGGGACAAATTGCTGGAGTTTATCGTATTCTGCTTGTTGTAGGACATCAACTCCTTAGCTGTTTGTGGCTTTATTTTCCATATTTTTTCATTGCACATTGCTCCAAATGTTTCCATTAGTTAAACATTCAGACTAAAGACATTCCAGTACCTTAGTTTTTTACTATAGAGTCAAGCTGTTAGTATGTAACATGTGCACAATGTGCTTTAACATTTGGAGCTAGGTCTTTATCTTAATTTTATATGTTTTAATTTTTACTTATTTATCTATTTTGTTGCATGACACAACTTCTCTGGTGTTCCATTGCCTCGTTCTTTTTTAGATGTAAAATACATTTTTTAATTAATCATCCATTTATTTACTTTCTTATTGGAACATACGCTTTAGAAATGTTTCTTTAAAAAGTGTTTTTTTTTCTTTAAAGAAAGTTGTAAAAGCTTTTGATTTTTCATCTTTTTCTGGGTTCCAGTTTTTCAGCTGAATGTAAGATGTGGTAACAGACTGATGTTTTTTTTTCTCTTCTTTTTCAGCTTTTTAAAGTTGCCAGTGTCTAAGCTTTTATTGAAAATGCAGGCGGTGTATGATAACAGCCATTCCTTATGTACAAGGTACCTTGTACCTTACTGCATATGCACAGCAATTTTGGTTATCCATATCCAGACTGTATTTTATCCATGGAGACACTACTTACATGCTGCCAGAAGAATGCTGCTCATATAACAACTTCTGACTCGATTAATGCATGAAAGAACATGCATGTTAGGCTGGACATAACCTATACATATATATCACAAAAATACAAGCAGAGATGTGTGATCTTTCAACAGCATGGCACTTTTGGCATGTTTGGAAACAGGGACCAAATGGCTTTTGTTGGTCATAAATACTGTTTCTGCATGCTCCAGCTTAAATTGGCTAATTCCACATAATAATTTGATTTGAAAATAGCTGCAGGACTAGAAACATCATCCTCCAAAACCCTGACATTATTGCGTCAGAATCTCTCCCCTCCTAAATATGGATTAAATGAGAAATATACAGAAGAGGAGATCTCATCCAGTGAGTTTGCAGCTTGCAGAGTTTAATGCAAACAGAGGAAACAGGGAGTATTTTTTAAATATATACAATGTCCAAATAATATTCTCTAAATATGGACTGTTCATTGCTTCTGGAAAGTGATTGTGCATATTACTTTTTCTTTTAACTAAAAAGCTAAATTAAAATGTTGCAGTTGGGTGTCTCAAATGAAATATTTTGATAACCCTGATGCTTCAGAGAAATCTTTTTATTTTAAATACCATTTGCATCCTTTATGTGTATGTACTCTTTCAATCTTCTGTTAATCTGGATCTATCAGTATTGTAAATTGTAAATGGGACAGCAAATACATACTCAAATTTACAAATATTTCTTATACTGATTGTAATGTAATAGTTATTATAATGTATACTGTCGAACTTCTGTTAGATGGTGCCCTGGGTTCATTATCTTAATGTGGGTATGATAACTGTTCACCTTAAAGTTAAGCAAGTAAGATCATCATTAAAGCTTAAAAAGGCAAAAAAAATTATTATTTCTCTTATGTCTAAAAAAAAAAAAAGTACATTCAATTAGTTCTTTAGTTGTGTAAAGGATACAACCTGCTGGAGTTGTGCAAGAACTGCATGCTGGTAAATGTGCATTAATTGACAGGTAACATACCTGTTCCGGTTCCTGTCAGTTATGCAATAACCAATATTTTCATGGCTTGTACCGAGCGAAGTAAGCTAGTCACATGTTGCTAGTGCCACTTGCTCAGCCAGAATGGCTGTCTCCATAGGTGTTATCCAAAACAGGAGCACTTGTGTATAATGCCATGGGTTTAATGTGCTACCCTGTGCTTTGCATTACCTATCTACAGGATTCAGGATAGTCTATAGCTTAATGGTTGGAACAGGTCACCAAAGTAAGCTTTTAGCAGTGGAACTGCAGGAAAGAAGAGGTTAATGGACTGGAGTTCCTCCTTAAGAAAAATGCATAGATAGAGGAGCTATGTTAAGCACCGACTGAATGGCCTTGACCCAAGCAACACCTTCTCAAATAGGCTGCTGTGTCTTAGTCATGATTCAAAGGAGAGCAGGAGCTGGAATGGTTTGCACTTCTGATGCTGAAGTCTCACCTCCAATGCCAGCACCCTCTTAGCTACATGAGAAGCTTGTACTTAATGAGGCATGCAACAGTAATTAGCAGAGACAGAAACCTCAACATAAACAGGCTTGTCTTCATCTTCTTTCTACTCATGTTGCCCTTTCATCTCTCACCCTTTCCTCCTCTCTCATATTTGTGATGTGCTTTTCATCTCTCCTCCCTTTTTCTTGCCTCTGCTTATTCTTTCCAGACAGATACGGCATCTTTTTGTCAAGAGGAGAATAGTTACAGTCGTTTACTGCAGCAGTAAAAAAAACCGTTATGGCGGATGAAGAGACATACTGATAGAAAGTTATGTCATAAAACAGGGACATGAGAGATGAACAGGTCTTGCACTTAGAACAGATGATTAACTGCTGAACAAAGCCATTTTCTTCAGGTCCCATAAGGGATTCACTCAAGGTGAACGCCAATACATGATGAAACTTGAAGCAATCTGACCCCCAGCCTGTGAAAATATGAAAGAAATCTTCTTTAACACACACATTTTGTCATTTAGTAAAAAAAACCAAACCCATTCTTCATTAAAATGTGAGGGCGAAAGAATATCTTATGACCCTTTCATAGTTTAAAAGTACACACTTGCTTGATAACCTAAAAGTAGCGATACACAACTTTTCACCTTGAGGCAGGAAAGAAGTATGTTAGTCTCCCCTTCACTGGGTAAAGTTCACCTCCCAATAGCTGCCACTCATACTGATGAGCTGTCTTAAGTTGAAATGGCATGTAGCCCGAGGCTGAGGTAAGATGGTAAATATAAAGCCACTCCAGGTGAAGAAGTTAGAGTTCACAAATACAATATAAAAACAAAAATGCTGTTTACCAGTGAATTATTTCTACTGGTTGTTTACTGTTGGCTGGTATTCAATTTGTTTTTCTTTTTACTACGCCTGCATCTACAAAAATGTATTTTTCAGAATCTTAGAAAAAAGGCAGGGACCAACAAAGAAGACACCTGAAACACAATTATATTTAAAGATTGCTTTCTCTAAAATCAACATTCCATTTTGTAATTTTCTATCGTTTGCCACACCCCTATATACCATGTGCTTTCATTTTCAGCTTCTGTCTTTGAAGATGTCTTAAGGCAGGGATAAAAATGTCATCTGCACAAGGACCCTTCTCTCTGGCATGGTCAGATACTGTAACAAGATACGTGGTCAAAACCACAAAGCTGGTTAGTGAAGCGGATAGGATGGATGGATAGGCAGAGGTTGAGGAAGGCGGGGGGCAGAACAGTGTGTGTTTGTGGGAAAGCCGGTGAAAGTCAAAACTGGCTTAAAGCGATGATCCAAAGTAAGCCGGTGGCCTGGCCTCGTCTAGTGTTCGTTCTTGCATCCTTCTAACAATCTGTCTATCGACTCTGTGTTTCCTAATGAGTTGTTTTGGGCCATGTGGGATTTCTGACTGGCGATCTTCCATTTGCTGTCTTTACCTGATAAGAATATAGTGTTCCACCCCCACATTCTAGAGCTTTCTTTAAAAGCTTCTCTGCTAACTTCCTGTTGAAGTTACTTGCTCATTAGCCATTATGTGATACTGTTCTTGTCAGGCATGATTCTATCTTTATAAAAAAGAAATTTAAAAAAAGCAGTTTCACACTCTACCACATTCACACTCTTCAAATTAACATGACTCTTAGTTACTTACTTCTGTTTTGCTGCTTGTTTCGCAGCTTTTCTGTAAACTGTTTAGACACATTTTCCAGCAACTAAACAAAGTTTCTCAGCAAATATAAAGACACTTCTTACATACAAAAATTAATTAAAAGATATCATCAAACTTATTCTGCATTTTTATATTATTGTGTTAACTTACAAGATGTCAGTTTGTGCATTCACGCACTTGTGTTTAAACATTTATATAGCTCAACCAATTATGTGCAATTACACAAGAATTGGCAAGGCTGAACTAATGTTGAAGCACTAGAAGAGAACACTCTGTGTTGTAAGGGGGGGATGAATGTTGCATTTTTTTTTTTTTTTGCTTTGAATTGTTTTTGCTCTTAAATCATATTGCCTAGCTTTACTAGGCCACCTACACACTGCATCTACAGAAGTTGCTTAGCTATGGTTACCCCAGCTGTGAAGCTCCCAGCACACAGTTTTTGTGCTGATGTTAATACCAGAGGAGATTTGGAACTCTGCAGTTACTGAATTGTTGAGAGTGTTGGCAACATTTACACACTTTGTGCCTCAGCACTCAGCGATCCACCTGTGAAACTTTCGTCTAGCACTTCATGGTTGAGTTGCTATGCTTCCTAAATGCTTCCACCTTGTAATCGCACCACTTTCATAAACTGATTCGCTGCAACAGAAGCATGCCATTATAGTACCTTGCTAAAATTCAGTGAGCTCTTTAGAATGACATATTCATTCAAAAATGTTTGCAAAGGCTAACTGATTGAATTTATACACATGTGCAAATGGGACTGAAAATACCTTAATTCAAAACACAAGATATGTGCTCCAATACTTTTGCCCACATAGTGTATGCTCTTAACAGAACATCTCCAGTGTTAAGCTTGTGCAGACATTCTGAAATTCCTGCTTCACCTGGCTGTTTCATGAAGCAATAAACTATGAAAGAGAAGCCTTCATATATTTACTACTGCACTGAAAAAAAGGGATTGGCCAGCTCTTGGATTTACGTAAGCATCTTGCGTGTATTTAACACAATTGCCTCATGCTTTAAAGTTAAGTGTAACTATATAGTGTAGAAACTACATGATATGCAGAGAGGCTAGATTAAATTGTTCATATCATGTTCAAGTGAAGTAAGTCAATAATATATCAATGTTAAATCCCGCGACACTGCACGGGTTTCAGACTCGCGCTCTTTAGATCGTGGTTTCAGGAAGGCATCCATCTCAGTCAAGTCGAGCAGCCACCTCTACTTTTTTTAGTATACCAAAAAAAGTAAATTGGGTGGTTGTTACATTAAAAAAGTCTAACTTGTAATTTGAACACAATAATTTCATGTTTCTATGAACGTAATTAAATCATGAAGGATCTGTACGAAATTCAACAACTTAATTTGTTCTTGTTGACATTACATGATACAATCTAGTAAGAGTGCTTAGTTGCTGAACTCATGAAATTCACAAGATCGCACAAGATTTCAAACTGCAGGAAAATCACTGGAGTTATAAGAGGC